ACACATTCTAATGTAATACATAGTAGTAAAATTATTTAAAAAATAAATTTACAATCAATTATTTTTATTTTTTTTATCGATCTGGTTTTTCTTTTGGTCTTTTTTTTCTAATAGCATCTTTTAAGGTTATAATATTTGGTTAGCTATAACACAGATAATGATGATCGAAACACTAAACAATACTTTCATTTGTTGTCTTTTTTATTATTTTTAAGATATGTTAGATACTTGTTCTTTTTGTTCTTGAGAACTGCACTCATCAAAACTTTCGACAATACTGTGACTGAACTCCTCCTTTAACGCAAAACTTCTTCAAACTCATCATCATAATGTCTTTAGGATGACTATCTTTGGTAGCTTGCCTCAGCCTTATAATGAGCTCTCCTAAAAATGCATGACAAGGAGTCTTAGTTTCCATGTGGACTCCTTCGTCGTCAATCGTCACAACGCCTGTTGGAATACTTTTAAAAGATTTGTTTCCGTTCCGTATGAACCTTTCGACTAGATTTATTTTTCTGAGATGCTGGGCCTCTTCTGGATTCAAGGGTTCCCTTTTGTAATCAATGCAGGGAGACACGGAAAATGATCTATTTTTTAATGTTAGGTTATAGTCTTCTATTTCGTCTGTGACAAGCTGAGGTATTTCATAAGTGACTCCAGCGTCTTCCCACAGGTACAAAACTCTGGCTGCGAAAATTTTCGTTTTCAAATTGAGGTTTTGCCATGTAAAGTACAATGGGGTGTTTTGAAAAATGTCTTCAAACGTTGTACACGTTATTTTGACGAAAGGATATTGCTGTACTAATTGCTCCACGTCCTGAAATGAAGAACAATGTTCGCAATTCTCTTTGTTGGTCCGCTTTATATGAAATAGCATCTTCAAGTATCCAGTTGCACTGTTACTTTTCTCGCTGACTTGCACCAGATTTCCCAGTTTGTCATAATCACTCCAACTGGCAACTGCACTTATGGTACCGTTTTTTGACGATATGCCAGTTCCGTTTCTACTGCTACTTATGTTACTATAATATTTTAAACTAGACACACCGTCACGATCATCTGTGATATCGTTCATGTTCTTTATTAAAATCAATTCTATGTTCCAATCTGGGTAAGTTTTGGCTATTTTTGCGACTATTTCTAATTGCTCCTGGCACCAGGGGAAAAAGTCATGAATTAAGTGAACAGTTCCGTTTTCGATATTTGCCATTTTAGATTTGTCACAATATGGTCCCAATATTACTCCATTACGAACGGCCCAGAGTATAATTAATATAGCCACAAGGGTAGAACCAATAGTAACGAGAAGGGTAGTTAACCAACATGATGTGATGTGACCTAAAACGAAAGTAAAAACGGTTGTCGTTATTCTATAAAGTCATGAAAGTCAAATACAATCTAAACAACTGTCGACTTTTAGGCAACATGTTAATATTCCTGGTTTTGCACCAATTTATGTAAAATCTTTTGATTACCTGGCCACTGGTTCATTACGGAAGCTGCTCCAGCACTGATATTCCTAAATCTACCCCTCTTGTTGGTGGTGGAAGTGGTTCTATCTTCTTCATCGCCAACAAACATGAGCAACGGATAGCGTTCATCGGCGTGTGTGAAGCTTCTCATTTTTCAATTTTCACATTACATCATCGCGGCACATTATTGCAAAGTAATTTCGTGGAAGCATAGTGGCGGACAATTTTTTATTATTGTTATTAAACCGAACAAAGTAACGAACCGTAAAATAACGTGTAAATTTCTACTTACTGTAACGTAGTACACAGACAGTTCTGTCAACATAATTTGTTATTCATAAACTGACATTGCGAAAAGCCTACTGTTTATTATAAACACCTGTTTCTATACTTCGTAAGAATTCTAAAACAAAATAGCGTTATTGTTTCGTATTTTGTTACAATTGCGGTCATATTTACTTACAACTTTTCTATTGTTTGCTATTCTCAGCGCATTCTCTTGGATGTTATTGGATAGCTGATGACGATCAAGCAGAGCCTATAATTGCCTAAAATATTGTTGACTTCCTAGAGTGAAAAATAATAATGTAAGTAGATTGTAGGTGCTTTTTGATGTTAATATTTGGATATGCCAGTAACTTCCTGAAGCATTACTTTAAATCACATAGACGAAAAGCATCCATAATAATATCACTACATAGTATAAAACAAAGTCGCTTTCCCGCTATCTGTCCCTATGTATGCTTAAATCTTTAAAACTACGCAACGGATTTTGATGCGGTTTCTTTTAAAAGATAGAGTGATTCAAGAGGATGGTTTATATGTATAATACATGCATAATATAGTAGGGAAACACTGATAATTTTAGAGGTTTCTAATGTGATGTCGTAAATAAACAATTTTTTGCGCTTACATTGCAAACGCTGGCTGAACCCTACGAGATAGATTAAAATAATGTACTACAATATTGTACATCTTAAAAGGGTCTATAAAAAAGTCCGCGATGGTATATGTCTATCTCTTAGGGATAACCCACAATAACCATTTCTTATCCTTTACTTTTTATGAGAAATGACTTATTTACGAAGCGATTGTATTGCATTAATTCTTATCCAATTAAGTACCTTAAATACATTGTGCATTTAATATAGATCAATATAACCCTTTACAACATGTAATTTAAATGAATATTTTCGAAGATATTACAGATTTAAAATGCAGGGACATTGCGGTTACGGCGGTACCGGCCGGGAGGCCGGTTTGAGTTGTGTAATGACAAAAAATCTGTGAATGTTGTATGCAAAGACATTCTGTAGTATATTTAGTATGTTCAGGGGGTATCTTTTGAAGATTTCACCTTTTATCAGCATTGCACCCGTGCGAAGCTGGGGCGGGTCACTAGTAGGTAATAAAACCCACTTTTCAAATTCTGATCTATCACTTCAGACATTTTGACTCAGTCATGAGGTACCTTTCCTCAAATACAAGTTTCCATACTTTAATCCACCCTTCAGAGGTGAATTTTCAAGAAATGATTTTTTTTTTGGTACAAACCACACAGCCCTACTGCAGGAGAATAAATTCGAAAATTCTTTGTGTTTCTTGTGCAACAACATGGTCAATTTTCCTATTTATTTAAATTATACACCGTTTATTTGTTTCATTATTTATTTGTTTAAAGCTTTTGTACAGCAAAAAGTTTTTATTATAAATAAGAAATATTGTCATTTTAATCATTAATTTACAATATTGTCTAATGGCAGTTGGTAAAAATAAATTATTGTCTTATACGTAATAATACCACCACCATCCCATAATGGATACGTTCAAAACGCATTTAAAGTTTCGAAGTTATCCATTTTGAAAAGGCACTTTCAATGGCTCATTCCCATAATGGGCCACAGAATGTTGACGCCTTCACTTATTTTACGCCAATTTTCTTCTTCTTCTGTATGAAATGTTGGTAGTTTCAGTTGGAATCTCCCATCTCGAGTAATTGTTGTTATCGTAACATTGAAGCTTTTGAGTCCGTTCGCATCTTTGACTTACTGGCCAAAAGACGAATCCTTCTGGACATTGATACATGTAGGCTTCTATTTCATTTTCTTTTCTTTGGCACTTTACGAATGTGTTTGAACAGGGATCTTGACTGAAAGCATTGTATCCTTCATACCAACACAGCTGTTGCTGCGTTACTGCAATCTGTAGACAAATAAAACGTAATAGTTCAATTGGTATTTATATATAAGTAAGTCATTTGCATACCGGTGGAAGAGAATTAAGTTGACTGTTTCTATACAGAGTTGTTTGAGCAATTTGTCCTGTGCACGTTTCAGCTTCTCCAGGGGGTAAACACTGAATCTTTCTGTTGTCATAAACGGTCCCACTTGGACAACTCAGAATTAGCACTTTGAAATCGAAAGTATAAGGACTTGTAGTACACTGATAAAATAGGTTGCAGTATTTTGGATGCCTTCTAAAGCCAGTTGGACAAACTAATGCCACTTGTTCTCCTGATAATTGACCAATTGGACATATGGCACCACTAGGTTGTTGGGGGTTTGTTGTTTGAGAGCCATTGGTGGGAATGTAAGATGGATTAGTTGGCTGTGGAGGGTTTGTTACTTGAGAACCACTAGGAGGGATATTTGGTCCTTGAGAAATAACAGGGACGGAGGGAGTTGGTGTTTGTGGTTGTAATGAACCGCCACTTGGTGGTGAACCACCTGGAGAAGACCCATCAGGCAAAATCTGTGATAAAGCCAAACTTTTCATACTACGTAATCATAAAGGGCGTCATACACTTACAATACTGCTGTTTAAATTCGAACAGTGACGATTAACGGCGTATGGATAATTGCATACACTTAATGCAGGATCAAAGATTGTGTTATCAGGACAGCTGAAGTAGAATACCGAAAAGTCATTACTACTATTGCCCCAAGCTACGCATCTATAAAACTTTTTGCAATCTTGCTCTACGGCAAAATATCCCGACTTATTACAAATACCATTTCCATTCCCTTTGAAAGAACAATTGTAATTTAGTTATTAAATACATTTCCACAAAGCCAAATAAATAAGTACCTGAAGGGGGCTGACTTGGTTGTTGGGGCTGTAGTGGTTGCTGAGGTGGTGCTGGCTGTTGTGGATACGTCGGTTGTTGTGGCTGTTGGGGCTGTAATGGCTGTTGAGGTTGTGTGGGTTGCTGTGGCTGCGGTGGCTGTTGGGGCTGCAATGGTTGCTGAGGTTGAGTGGGTTGTTGTGGATACGTTGGTTGCTGTGGCTGTTGAGGCTGCCAAGGTTGTTGTGGCTGCAACGGTTGTTGGGGTTGAGTGGGTTGTTGTGGATACGTTGGTTGCTGTGGCTGTTGTGGCTGCAACGGTTGTTGGGGTTGCTGTGGTTGCGGTGGTTGTTGGGGCTGCAATGGTTGTTGAGGTTGAGTGGGTTGTTGTGGATACGCTGGTTGCTGTGGTTGTTGTGGCGGTAGTGGTTGTTGCGGTTGCAATGGTTGTTGAGGCTGTGTGGGTTGTTGTGGATACGTTGGTTGCAAAGGTTGTTGCGGATATGTTGGCTGCTGTGGTTGTTGTGGCTGCGCTGGTTGTTCTGGTTGCTGTGGCTGCTGAGGTGATAACTGCCCCGGCTGTGAAGGTTGCAAATTTCCACAATTCGGCCTATTTGCTGCCCAAACATGATTGCATGACGTAATTTTAGGATCCCAAACTGTGCCACTGACACATGAGAACTCATGTTTAATAAAACCACCTTTTCCATCCGAAATACATCTATAAAATTTCAAGCAATTGACAGGATCTCCTAGAAATCCATCCTGAGAACAAACATTGCCCAGCTGACTAGGCAAATTACCAGACTGATCTGGCTGTTGAGGTTGCTGAGGTGTAGGCGTCGGCTGATTTGGCTGTGAAGGTGATCCCGGTTGTTCAGGTACACCAACAGGATGTTGTGGTTGTCCAGGTGTTGGTATTTGCACAGGTTGCTGAGGTTGACCTCCTTCTGGATTAGGCGGCAACGGTTGTCCTGGTTGTTGTGGAATATATATAGGCTGTTCAGTTTGTGTTGGATGGCTAGGATTTACAGGTTGTATAGGTTGATTTGGCTGATCAATACAGTTACTTCTATTCGCTGCCCATTGATAATTGCAAGAGAGTATTTTGGTATCCCATACAGTTCCCGGAGCACAAGAGAACTTATACTTAATGAAAGCACCTCTGCCATCCGCAACACATCGGTAAAATACAGAGCAATTAATAGGATCACCTAAAAATCCATCTTCGACACACTGCGTTCCTAATTGGCCTGGTCTAATAGGTTCACCCTGTTGATTAGGTGGACAACCGGGGGTACCGGGAAGACCGCCTGAACCACCCTGTCCACCAGAACCCGGTTGACTTGGGATAGAAGGAACGCTTGGTGAGCCACCTGAATAAGATTAAAGCGGATTATAATGCACAAATACTTATAAAACTTAAGTGAGCAAAGCACATACTTAATCATTCCAAAATAATACAAGCATGCACTGAAACGCATAAAATAAGACACTCAAAAACATGAAAGCTTCTTGGCTTGAAATTTGATATTTCACCCACCTATTCCACCAACGCCTCCTTGACCGCCGCTGCCTGGTTGACCCGGAATTCCTGGAGTTCCTGGCGATCCTGGTGTTCCTGGGTATCCACCTAATAACCGGGGGAAGTTCGATATTAGAAGATTTAATGCTAATTCAAGGTAAAAGATTAGTGTGTCTTTAATTATTTTTAATATACCTATTCCACCAGGGCCTCCTTGTCCGCCGCTGCCTGGCTGACCTGGTATTCCCGGAATGCCTGGCGATCCCGGCGTACCCGGCGTTCCTGGATAGCCACCTAATAATTAGAGATTTTTGATGTAAACCCGNTTATCCTTTACTTTTTACGAGAAATAATGGCTTATTTACGAAGCGATTTTAAGCAATACAGCATTAATCCTTATCCAATTAAGTACTTTTAAATACATTGTGCATTTAATACAGATCAATATGGCCCTTTACAGCATGTAATTTAAATGAATATTTTCGAAGATTACAGATTTAAAATGCCGGTTGCGGCGATACCCAGGGAGGGGCCGGTTTGTATTGTCTAATGACAAAAAAACTGTGAATGTTGTATGTAAAGACATTCTGTAGTATATTTAGTATGTTCAGGGGGTATCTTTTGAAGATTTCACCTTTTATCAGCATTGCACCCGTGCGAAGCTGGGGCGGGTCACTAGTAGGTAATAAAACCCACTTTTCAAATTCTGATCTATCACTTCAGACATTTTGACTCAGTCATGAGGTACCTTTCCTCAAATACAAGTTTCCATACTTTAATCCACCCTTCAGAGGTGAATTTTCAAGAAATGATTTTTTTTTTGGTACAAACCACACAGCCCTACTGCAGGAGAATAAATTCGAAAATTCTTTGTGTTTCTTGTGCAACAACATGGTCAATTTTCCTATTTATTTAAATTATACACCGTTTATTTGTTTCATTATTTATTTGTTTAAAGCTTTTGTACAGCAAAAAGTTTTTATTATAAATAAGAAATATTGTCATTTTAATCATTAATTTACAATATTGTCTAATGGCAGTTGGTAAAAATAAATTATTGTCTTATACGTAATAATACCACCACCATCCCATAATGGATACGTTCAAAACGCATTTAAAGTTTCGAAGTTATCCATTTTGAAAAGGCACTTTCAATGGCTCATTCCCATAATGGGCCACAGAATGTTGACGCCTTCACTTATTTTACGCCAATTTTCTTCTTCTTCTGTATGAAATGTTGGTAGTTTCAGTTGGAATCTCCCATCTCGAGTAATTGTTGTTATCGTAACATTGAAGCTTTTGAGTCCGTTCGCATCTTTGACTTACTGGCCAAAAGACGAATCCTTCTGGACATTGATACATGTAGGCTTCTATTTCATTTTCTTTTCTTTGGCACTTTACGAATGTGTTTGAACAGGGATCTTGACTGAAAGCATTGTATCCTTCATACCAACACAGCTGTTGCTGCGTTACTGCAATCTGTAGACAAATAAAACGTAATAGTTCAATTGGTATTTATATATAAGTAAGTCATTTGCATACCGGTGGAAGAGAATTAAGTTGACTGTTTCTATACAGAGTTGTTTGAGCAATTTGTCCTGTGCACGTTTCAGCTTCTCCAGGGGGTAAACACTGAATCTTTCTGTTGTCATAAACGGTCCCACTTGGACAACTCAGAATTAGCACTTTGAAATCGAAAGTATAAGGACTTGTAGTACACTGATAAAATAGGTTGCAGTATTTTGGATGCCTTCTAAAGCCAGTTGGACAAACTAATGCCACTTGTTCTCCTGATAATTGACCAATTGGACATATGGCACCACTAGGTTGTTGGGGGTTTGTTGTTTGAGAGCCATTGGTGGGAATGTAAGATGGATTAGTTGGCTGTGGAGGGTTTGTTACTTGAGAACCACTAGGAGGGATATTTGGTCCTTGAGAAATAACAGGGACGGAGGGAGTTGGTGTTTGTGGTTGTAATGAACCGCCACTTGGTGGTGAACCACCTGGAGAAGACCCATCAGGCAAAATCTGTGATAAAGCCAAACTTTTCATACTACGTAATCATAAAGGGCGTCATACACTTACAATACTGCTGTTTAAATTCGAACAGTGACGATTAACGGCGTATGGATAATTGCATACACTTAATGCAGGATCAAAGATTGTGTTATCAGGACAGCTGAAGTAGAATACCGAAAAGTCATTACTACTATTGCCCCAAGCTACGCATCTATAAAACTTTTTGCAATCTTGCTCTACGGCAAAATATCCCGACTTATTACAAATACCATTTCCATTCCCTTTGAAAGAACAATTGTAATTTAGTTATTAAATACATTTCCACAAAGCCAAATAAATAAGTACCTGAAGGGGGCTGACTTGGTTGTTGGGGCTGTAGTGGTTGCTGAGGTGGTGCTGGCTGTTGTGGATACGTCGGTTGTTGTGGCTGTTGGGGCTGTAATGGCTGTTGAGGTTGTGTGGGTTGCTGTGGCTGCGGTGGCTGTTGGGGCTGCAATGGTTGCTGAGGTTGAGTGGGTTGTTGTGGATACGTTGGTTGCTGTGGCTGTTGAGGCTGCCAAGGTTGTTGTGGCTGCAACGGTTGTTGGGGTTGAGTGGGTTGGGGGCTGCAATGGTTGCTGAGGTTGAGTGGGTTGTTGTGGATACGTTGGTTGCTGTGGCTGTTGAGGCTGCCAAGGTTGTTGTGGCTGCAACGGTTGTTGGGGTTGAGTGGGTTGTTGTGGATACGTTGGTTGCTGTGGCTGTTGTGGCTGCAACGGTTGTTGGGGTTGCTGTGGTTGCGGTGGTTGTTGGGGCTGCAATGGTTGTTGAGGTTGAGTGGGTTGTTGTGGATACGCTGGTTGCTGTGGTTGTTGTGGCGGTAGTGGTTGTTGCGGTTGCAATGGTTGTTGAGGCTGTGTGGGTTGTTGTGGATACGTTGGTTGCAAAGGTTGTTGCGGATATGTTGGCTGCTGTGGTTGTTGTGGCTGCGCTGGTTGTTCTGGTTGCTGTGGCTGCTGAGGTGATAACTGCCCCGGCTGTGAAGGTTGCAAATTTCCACAATTCGGCCTATTTGCTGCCCAAACATGATTGCATGACGTAATTTTAGGATCCCAAACTGTGCCACTGACACATGAGAACTCATGTTTAATAAAACCACCTTTTCCATCCGAAATACATCTATAAAATTTCAAGCAATTGACAGGATCTCCTAGAAATCCATCCTGAGAACAAACATTGCCCAGCTGACTAGGCAAATTACCAGACTGATCTGGCTGTTGAGGTTGCTGAGGTGTAGGCGTCGGCTGATTTGGCTGTGAAGGTGATCCCGGTTGTTCAGGTACACCAACAGGATGTTGTGGTTGTCCAGGTGTTGGTATTTGCACAGGTTGCTGAGGTTGACCTCCTTCTGGATTAGGCGGCAACGGTTGTCCTGGTTGTTGTGGAATATATATAGGCTGTTCAGTTTGTGTTGGATGGCTAGGATTTACAGGTTGTATAGGTTGATTTGGCTGATCAATACAGTTACTTCTATTCGCTGCCCATTGATAATTGCAAGAGAGTATTTTGGTATCCCATACAGTTCCCGGAGCACAAGAGAACTTATACTTAATGAAAGCACCTCTGCCATCCGCAACACATCGGTAAAATACAGAGCAATTAATAGGATCACCTAAAAATCCATCTTCGACACACTGCGTTCCTAATTGGCCTGGTCTAATAGGTTCACCCTGTTGATTAGGTGGACAACCGGGGGTACCGGGAAGACCGCCTGAACCACCCTGTCCACCAGAACCCGGTTGACTTGGGATAGAAGGAACGCTTGGTGAGCCACCTGAATAAGATTAAAGCGGATTATAATGCACAAATACTTATAAAACTTAAGTGAGCAAAGCACATACTTAATCATTCCAAAATAATACAAGCATGCACTGAAACGCATAAAATAAGACACTCAAAAACATGAAAGCTTCTTGGCTTGAAATTTGATATTTCACCCACCTATTCCACCAACGCCTCCTTGACCGCCGCTGCCTGGTTGACCCGGAATTCCTGGAGTTCCTGGCGATCCTGGTGTTCCTGGGTATCCACCTAATAACCGGGGGAAGTTCGATATTAGAAGATTTAATGCTAATTCAAGGTAAAAGATTAGTGTGTCTTTAATTATTTTTAATATACCTATTCCACCAGGGCCTCCTTGTCCGCCGCTGCCTGGCTGACCTGGTATTCCCGGAAATCCTGGCGATCCCGGCGTACCCGGCGTTCCTGGATAGCCACCTAATAATTAGAGATTTTTGATGTAAACCCGGTTGGAATGAAATCAGTTGCCTTAGGTTTTTATATCTTACCTATTCCACCACTACCTCCTTGACCACCACTGCCTGGCTGACCTGGAATTCCTGGAGTACCCGGAGATCCCGGCGTTGCTGGCGTTCCTGGATAACCACCTAATCAAAGGAGGAGTTTGATATAACACAGTTCGCAGCAACTACAGAGTTCTTATATATGTACATCATTATAAATAAGTAATTTACCTATACCGCCGGGGCCAACCTGTCCGCCGCTGCCTGGTTGACCTGGAATTCCTGGAGTTCCTGGCGATCCTGGTGATCCTGGGTATCCACCTAAAAACCAGGGCAATTTATTATCGGTTGGTTTAATGTTAATCCAAGGTAAAAGGTTAGTGTGTCCTAAATTATTGGTAATTTACCTATTCCACCAGGGCCTCCTTGTCCGCCACCGCCCGGCTGACCCGGTGTTCCCGGAGTTCCTGGCTGGCCGCCTAATCAAATTTCATTTTAAATGATTTGAAACAAGTGTAAGATTTGTATATTTTACACACTTAATAATAACTAGCCTACCTATTCCACCTGGGCCTCCCTGTCCACCACTACCTGGCTGACCCGGAATTCCTGGAGTTCCTGGTGATCCTGGTGTTCCTGGGTATCCACCTAATAAGCAGGAAAAATGATATTAGTGAGTTTAATATTAATCCAAGGTCAAAGATTAGTGTATCCTTAGTTATTGTTAATCTACCTATTCCACCAGGGCCCCCTTGTCCGCCGCTGCCTGGCTGACCTGGAATTCCTGGAATGCCTGGAGATCCTGGTGTTCCCGGCGTCCCTGGATAGCCACCTAGTCAACGAAAGAGTTTGATATGACACAGTTTACAGCATCTACAGGGCTCTTATATCTTTAATGCAATATAAATGAATAATCTACCTATTCCTCCGGGGCCTCCTTGTCCTCCGCCACCTGGTTGGCCTGGAATTCCTGGAACGCCTGGCGATCCTGGTGTTCCTGGCGTTCCTGGCGTTCCTGGGTAGCCGCCTAATAAAATATATTTTTAATGGTTTGAAACAAGTGTAAGATTTGTATATTTTACACACTTAATAATAACTAGCCTACCTATTCCACCTGGGCCTCCCTGTCCACCACTACCTGGCTGACCCGGAATTCCTGGAGTTCCTGGTGATCCTGGTGTTCCTGGGTATCCACCTAATAACCAGGAAAAATTTAATATTAGTCGATTTAATGGTAATCTAAGATTAAAATGTAGTGTATCCTTAGTAATTATTAGTCTACCTATTCCACCAGGGCCTCCTTGTCCGCCGCTGCCTGGTTGACCTGGAGATCCTGGCGTTCCCGGCGTTCCTGGAAAGCCACCTAGTCAACGGAGGAGTTTGATATAACACAATTTATAGCAACTGCAGTGCTCTTATATTTTCATGTTAATATAAATGAGTAATCTACCTATTCCCCCGGGGCCGCCTTGTCCGCCGCTGCCTGGCTGACCTGGAATTCCTGGAATGCCTGGAGATCCTGGTGTTCCCGGTGTCCCTGGATAGCCACCTAGTAAACGAAGGAGTTTGATATAACATAGTTTACAGCAACTACAGAGCTCTTATATTTTTAAGTCAATATAAATGAGTAATCTACCTATTTCCCCAGGGCCTCCTTGTCCTCCGCCACCTGGTTGGCCTGGAATTCCTGGAACGCCTGGCGATCCTGGTGTTCCTGGCGTTCCTGGCGTTCCTGGGTAGCCGCCTAATAAAATATATTTTAAATGGTTTGAAACAAGTGTAAGATTTGTATATTTTACACACTTAATAATAACTAGCCTACCTATTCCACCTGGGCCTCCCTGTCCACCACTACCTGGCTGACCAGGAACTCCTGGAGTTCCTGGTGATCCTGGTGTTCCTGGGTATCCACCTAATAACCGGGAAAAGTTTAATATTAGTCGATTTAATGGTAATNCTGGAGTTCCTGGGGATCCTGGTGTTCCTGGGTATCCACCTAATAACCGGGAGAAATTTAATATTAGTCGATGTAATGGTAATCCAAGATTAAAATGTAGTGTATCCTTAGTTATTGTCAATCTACCTATTCCACCAGGCCCTCCTTGTCCGCCGCTGCCTGGCTGACCTGGAATTCCTGGAATGCCTGGAGATCCTGGTGTTCCCGGCGTTCCTGGATAGCCACCTAGTCAACGAAGGAGTTTGATATGACACAGTTTACAGCATCTACAGGGCTCTTATATCTTTAATGTAATATAAATGAATAATATACCTATTCCCCCGGGGCCTCCTTGTCCTCCGCCACCTGGTTGACCTGGAATTCCTGGAACGCCTGGCGATCCTGGTGTTCCTGGGTATCCACCTAATAAATAGGAATATTTTGATATTAGTGGGTTTAATGTTAATTTAAGGTTAAAGTTTAGTGTGACCTTATTGTTAACCTACCTATTCCACCAGGGCCTCCTTGTCCGCCGCTGCCTGGCTGACCTGGAATTCCTGGAATACCTGGAGATCCTGGTGTTCCCGGCGTTCCTGGATAGCCACCTAGTCAACGGAGGGGTTTGATATAACACAATTTATTGCAACTACAGTGCTCTTATAATTTTTAATTCAATATAAATGAGTAATCTACCTATTCCCCCGGGGCCTCCTTGTCCTCCGCTACCTGGCTGACCTGGAATTCCTGGAATGCCTGGATATCCTGGTGTTCCGGGTGTTCCTGGATAGCCACCTAATAAATAGACATTTCTGATGTAAACCCGTTTGGAATGCTATAAGTTGCCTTAGGTTTCTATATCTTTAAGAATGGTTAGCCTACCTATTCCACCACTACCTCCTTGACCTGGCTGACCTGGAATTCCCGGAATGCCCGGTGATCCTGGTGTTCCTGGATAGCCACCTAGTCAACGGAGAAGTTTGATATAATACTGTTTACGGCAACTACAGAGCTCTTATATTTGTATGTCATTATAAATAAGTGAGTCACCTATTCCACCGGGACCTCCTTGTCCTCCGCTGCCGGGTTGTCCTGGAATTCCTGGAGTGCCTGGTGATCCTGGTGCCCCTGGGTAGCCACCTAATAATACATGCTGCTAAATGATTTATAATAATTATAAGGTTTCTAATAACTAGTCTACCTATTCCACCTGTGCCTCCATGCCCACCACTTCCTGGAGTTCCTGGCGATCCTGGTGTTCCCGGGTATCCACCTAATAACCGGGGGAAATTTGATATTATTTGGCTTAATGTTAATCCAAGGTAAAAGTTAGTGTAACCTTAATTATTGCTAATTTACCTATTCCACCAGGGCCTCCTTGTCCGCCGCTGCCTGGCTGACCTGGGATTCCCGGAATGCCTGGAGATCCTGGTGTTCCCGGCGTTCCTGGTGTTCCTGGGTAGCCACCTAATGAACAGACATTTTAGTATAAATTGGGTTGCTTTAAGTTTTTATATCTACACTAATGTTAGCCTACCTATTCCACCACTACCTCCTTGACCACCGCTGCCTGGCTGACCTGGAATGCCCGGAGTACCTGGAGATCCCGGCGTTCCTGGATAGCCACCTAGTTAACGAAGGAGTTTGATATAACAAAGTTCGCAGCAACTACAGAGCTCTTATATATCTGGTCTATCATTATAAATATGTAATTTACCTGTTCCACCTGGGCCTCCCTGTCCACCACTGCCTGGCTGACCCGGAGTTCCTGGTGATCCTGGTGTTCCTGGGTATCCACCTGATAACCGGGGGAAATTTGATATTAGATGGTTAATCCAAGATAAAAAGTTAGTGTGTCCTAAATTATTGCTAATATACCTATTCCACCAGGGCCTCCTTGACCGCCGCTGCCCGGCTGACCTGGTATTCCCGGAATGCCTGGTGATCCTGGTGTTCCTGGTGTTCCTGACGTTCCTGGGTAGCCACCTGGTAAATAGACATTTTTAATATAAACTGGGTTGGGAAGAAATCAATTGCCCTAGGTTTTTATAATTTTATTAATGGTTAGCCTACCTACTCCACCTGTGCCTCCTTGTCCACCGCTACCTGGCTGACCCGGAATTCCTGGAGTGCCTGGCGATCCTGGGTATCCACCTAATAATCAGGAAAAGTTTGATTTCAGTTGATTAATGTTAATCCAACGGTTGGTATGTCTCTAATTATTGCTAATTTACCTATTCCACCAGGGCCTCCTTGTCCGCCACTGCCTGGTTGACCTGGAATTCCTGGAGTACCCGGAGATCCCGGCGTTCCTGGATAGCCACCTAATAACCGAGGAAATTTGATATTAGCCGGTTTAATGTTAATCTAATGTTAAAGGTAGGTGTATCGACAATTAAGGTATCTACGTATCCCACCAGTTCTGAGTAATTACAAGGTTCGTATGTCATTAATAATAAGTAATCTACCTATTCCGCCTGTGCCTCCCTGTCCACCACTGCCTGGTTGACCTGGAATTCCTGGAGTACCCGGAGATCCCGGCGTTCCTGGCGTTCCTGGATAGCCACCTAATAACCAGGCAAATTTGATATTAGCCGCTTTAATGTTAATCCAATGTTAAAAGTTGTTTGAGTTAGGTTACCTGTTCCGCCACTACCTCCTTGACCACCACTGCCTGGCTGACCTGGAATTCCTGGAGTACCCGGAGATCCCGGCGTTCCTGGATAGCCACCTAATAACGGGGGAAATTTGATATTAGCCGGTTTAAAGTTAATCCAATGTTAAAGGTAGCTGTATCCATAAATATGGTATCTACGTATCCCACAAGTTCTGAGTAATTACAATGTTCGTATGTCATTAATAATAAGTAATCTACCTATTCCGCCTGTGCCTCCCTGTCCACCACTGCCTGGTTGACCTGGAATTCCTGGAGTACCCGGAGATCCTGGTGTTCCTGGGTATCCGCCTGGTAAACGGATAAGTTTGATATAAGTCAGCTTAGATTTTAGATAATTAATGTATTATGTCTTTAAATATGGATAATGTACCTATTCCACCAAGGCCTCCCTGCCCGCCGCTGCCTGGTTGACCTGGGAATCCTGGAGTGCCTGGCGATCCTGGTGTTCCTGGTGTTCCCGGCGTTCCTGGGTATCCACCTAATAAAGGGGAAATTTTGATATTGGTCGATTTAGGGTTAATATGAATTAATAGGTTAGTATGTCTTTAACTATTTCTAATGTAGCTATTCCACCAGGACCTTATGCATCTTTTTAGAATAAGTATTCTCAAGTGATGATCACGCAAAGACAAGAGTGTAAATATATTTGAACCTGTAAAATCATTAGTTGTTCTTACAGAAATTTATTATAGATTAAGCACACGGGGTGTATTAATATTAGATTAGATTATGAATGTAGCTGTACCATGTCCTAAATTAGAAATTAGTGATTAGTACAATGCAAGGTACTTTTATTATTTACCAATTCCTCCTGAACCACCTTGACCTCCACTGCCGGGTGATGCAGGGTATCCTGTTAAAATATCATTATTGCATTAACGTTCACAGGGAGAGCGAATTTCAAAAGACAGCTTACCACTTCCTCCTGTGCCACCAACTCCTCCGCAAGCTGTTCTGTTTGCTGCATAAGGATAATTGCAGGTGCTTGACTGCAAGTCCCATACAGTTCCAGCGGCACAAGCAAATGAGTATTGAGTAAAACCACCTTTACCATCGTCAACACATCTATAAAATTTGGTGCAATCCCGGGGATCTCCCAAGAAACCGTCTTGAGTACATGTATCACCCAATTGACTAATCTGAGAAGTATTACTGGGAATCCTATTATTGATAAATGGATTTTGTGTCGACGATTGTTGTATTGGCGGTTGTGTGGGCAAATAAATGGGCTGATTATCGGGCGGGGGGATGGGCTTCGCTTCAACTCCTCCGCATTCAGGTCTGCCACTTGCGTAGGGATAGTTACAAATGACGTTTCTGTTGTCGAAAACAGTCCCTGGAGCACATTCAAATGTTATTGCTGACAATCCGCTACTCGTTTGTATACATCGATGAAATAATGAACAGTTTCTATTATCCGGAAAATATCCTTCAGAGGGGCAACTAATTGCAGCGCTGTAAGCGATTTGTCGAGATTTTCTCGGACTGGCTAACAATTCTTCACCTGAAAACCAATTGAAATATTAATTTGAAATCATTTTTTCGATTTTTGATTTACCCACTACAAACTACCTCAAATTAATGAGGAAAAATTGTTGCTGTTGTCACACCCCCGCCGGGAATCGAACCCGGGACCTTTGGCTTTACGCACCAATGTTCTAGCACTAAACTACGAGAGGTGACAACAGCAACCACGACCAACCGACCTACAAGGTTAACGATTCGTCGATTTTTATTAACTTAATTATATACAAACTTACCTCAAATTAATGAGGAAAAATTGTTGCTGTTGTCACACCCCCGCCGGGAATCGAACCCGGGACCTTTGGCTTTACGCACCAATGTTCTGACCACTAAACTACGAGAGGTGACAACAACAACCACGACCAACCGACCTACAAGGTTAACGATCCGTCGAACTAATGTAACTATATACTGAATATACTATGATTAAACATACATATAATTTAGATATCTTTTAGAAGTGAGTTAGTTTAATATGAAATATTATTCTGAAAATTCATTTCTGAATTTTTTACCCACTACACGCTACCTCAAATTAATGAGGGAAAAATTGTTGCTGTTGTCACACCCCCGTCGGGAATCGAACCCGGGACCTTTGGCTTTACGCACCAATGTTCTGACCACTAAACTACGAGAGGTGACAACAACAACCACGACCAACCGACCTACAAGGTTAACGATCCGTCGAACTAATGTAACTATATACTGAATATACTATGATTAAACATACATATAATTTAGATATCTTTTAGAAGTGAGTTAGTTTAATATGAAATATTATTCTGAAAATTCATTTCTGAATTTTTTACCCACTACACGCTACCTCAAATTAATGAGGGAAAAATTGTTGCTGTTGTCACACCCCCGTCGGGAATCGAACCCGGGACCTTTGGCTTTACGCACCAATGTTCTGACCACTAAACTACGAGAGGTGACAACAACAACCACGACCAACCGACCTACAAGGTTAACGATCCGTCGAACTAATGTAACTATATACTGAATATACTATGATTAAACATACATATAATTTAGATATCTTTTAGAAGTGAGTTAGTTTAATATGAAATATTATTCTGAAAATTCATTTCTGAATTTTTTACCCACTACACGCTACCTCAAATTAATGAGGGAAAAATTGTTGCTGTTGTCACACCCCCGTCGGGAATCGAACCCGGGACCTTTGGCTTTACGCACCAATGTTCTGACCACTAAACTACGAGAGGTGACAACAACAACCACGACCAACCGACCTACAAGGTTAACGATCCGTCGAACTAATGTAACTATATACTGAATATACTATGATTAAACATACATATAATTTAGATATCTTTTAGAAGTGAGTTAGTTTAATATGAAATATTATTCTGAAAATTCATTTCTGAATTTTTTACCCACTACACGCTACCTCAAATTAATGAGGGAAAAATTGTTGCTGTTGTCACACCCNATATATATTTATATTTATAAATTGTTATGATTTTGTAAAAGGGCTTTCAGCTCGTTGGTTCAAGAAAATAAAAAATTAAAAATTGGAAGACTGGAAAGGCGCTCAAATTAGCTTAAATAATTGAGTTAGACATCCACAATGTGATCTCTTTTCATTTATTTATTAAAGTATATAAAAAAAATCATAAAAAATAGACATTTGCTTAACAGATTTAATGCCTTTAAGATATTTTATTAGGATTAATTAATACCATGAAGTGTTTTTAGTTGTTTAATGTATAGTTTTGGATATTGAAGGCAGATATTTTTTAGAATAATTTAAGGAAGGAAAATTATTGTTTTTAATGAAACGGGTACTTAATATGCACATATTTCAGATACTACGTAACGATGGTAAATACAGATAATGTCCTTAACGATTTATGGTAGTAAAAGAGCGGCTTATATTTTCGTTAAGAAATTTTTCATGTTTCCAGATAACAATCTAGGCATTTCTTGAACGTAGTAACAAGTCGGAAATTTTCCATCTATTTGCATTCCCCTTTGATGGTGGCTTTAAAGAAACTAATTTTTTTCTTCTTAAACGCGCTATTGATAGTTAATACTTCTCGGTATCCTTATAGGATTTAATGGCAATTATAATTCTTAGCGAACCTGTTCTGCTGTTTTACTAAGCAATTTATTGAGTTGGGACAAGAAGCTTGTCACACGGATATCCATACACCCTTAGGTATACACTTAAGCCGTNTGACGCTACCTCCTCGTTATTCTCAATAAATGTGATGAGATTAATTTTTCAGTTATGCCAAATATCACTGGTCTAATAGCAGTATATGTAGATTATTAATCATCATCGTACAGGATCTTTTCCTAAGTCTATTGGTCCGTATGTTAAAGGCGAAGAAAAATTACATCGGTTGAGCCATTACCTTTGAATGCTTAGTGATAAGAATACGTTCTTCTTAAATGGTTTCTTATGTAGTTTTAGTATTTTTTTTTTTTAATTATAAGTTTGACACTATTATTTATATGTACAAAACCCTGGTAAGACCCATAATGTTTTATAATTCTCAAATCTGGTCTCCACATTATTTAACCATGATAATGAAATTGGAAGCGGTTCAGCATAAGTTCTTTAGATTCTTATCTTACAAAATTGGCAAACCCATGTCTTTCTTTGATCATAATTACGTTAATATTGCTAAGATTGCTGGTTTATCATCTGTAAAGTCACTTCATGATTATTATGATTTGTTATTTATGAAGAGAATTTTCAATATACTTAGTGACACAGATAGAGTCACTAATCCGCTGTTAAATATTTTTAAAACCAAAGATGGTGTTTATAAATTAAGATCAGTACGTACCTTTAGGGAAATTAATTCAAGTAAAGATTATGTTTTTCATTCTCCTTCTTTTAGACTAAGAAGAGTTTGGAATAA